ACAAGATCGGAAAATATCCTTACAAGTCTGGCTGGTTGTTACGATAAGGTTTCTGTAGACTTTCTGTCTGCAGGATGGTATATTTTTTTTAATATTGATTTCTTTCAGCTTTTTTCCTTTTAGATATGACTCAAAATGGACTATTCAAACGTATGACTTCGTAAAAAAATATGACTCAAAATTCGCAACAAGCACTGTAATATGGCATCGCTATGTTTTGTTCCAAGTTCTTTCCTGTACATATTCTTAGCGTCATTGTATTTCTCAATTTGTAATAGATTACATACAGTTTTGTACCTAGGCTAGGCATAACAGAAGGTAAAGTGACGGAGAGACACACGGCAGAGGAATGTCAATACTACAGACATGCTCACGTGCACGCACGTGTTACAGGGAATGCCAAGTAGTTTCTCGTACCACGTTTATCATCTCATTGGAATGTAAACAAACATAGGTGTCTTTGGCCACCTACTGCGCGGAAAACGTATGGCACAGTAAGTGTGTGCTTAGAAGGTGGTTGCTGTAAAAACTGTCACGAATCAAACGTTTATTTCGTAGAAAGACAGACTAACAGACAAGAAAAAACTGTGGCAGTGACATGGAGTACAATAGCAGCCGAATCAACTGCCCCATAGCCGTCTGACCTAACTCAGTCCAAACTCGTAAAGAGTTCCAATTGTGAGATAAATATAAAATTAAGAGTTTTTTTTTTTCTATCCAGGGTCCGTCTAACGATACTCAATCCTAACTCGTGTCGAAATTATAGTTTAGGTTTTAGGGGGTCGCCAAGCGAAGATCAACTCGTGGAAAACTTGGCGCGACAATCTCTGACGTTCTCTCGGAGTCAACACAAAAAAAATCGGAAATATGGTTTGAATTACGTCATAATTAGTGTATTCTTATACTTACGTAATTGTAGTGGGGGTTAGGCTACGAGGTGGAGCAAATATTCTTGCCTCAGAACCAATGTACGTCACTTCTAGCAGCACCAATAAAAATATGCAATTAAGATTTTTATGTTTGTAAAACGTGAAGTAACAAAACTAAGATAAAACTTATTCAGACTCATGTATCGGTAGTATAATATATACGATACATCTACCCCCCCCCCTCGTGACAATACAGCGAAACAAGTTCAAGCGACCTAAGTTCAGTCCTAACCATTGTTCTTAGCTTTTTTGATCTTAAAAAAAAGGTTATTAGTAGTCAGTCAGTTTTTCGCATACACACACACACACACACACACACACATATATATATATATATATATATATATATATATAGCTACTCGTCGTACGTACGGACGACGGTACGGTACGTAGTACGTACGACGACTACGTTAACTTTAAACCTTAACTACTACTACCTACCGTACTACGTAGTTA